GTCAGCTAACTAATTCTATAAATAGTTACTGAGGCATAAGAAATAGGCACTTTTGGAGATAACAATTGTAATTCTTCTCTCTGTATTCTCTTTGGTAATAAAGTCTCGAGGTTCTTTCTTTTATAGAGCTTCCTGCAATTTGAGATTCTTCGAACACCGTTCCTAGTATCTTGTGTTCTATTAGTTACTGTATCAACTGGTATTAGGAGTCTTGTTCTTGGGGCACACTTCTTGAAGTCATGGCAGAATCAACCAGATCGCAAGCAGCTTTGCGTGAAATGGAAGAAAGGTTGGAAACTTGCATTTCAGAGAAATTGGAAGAAAAAATGGTGGAACTTGCAGGTGCGATGCAAAAGACATTACAAGATTCATTGAAAGGGACGTTAACTGAATTGTTACACAAAAATCATCATAATTCTGGTGTGGGTAATCATCTTTCTAGTTCAGGTAATCATCGTGTTCCTTATGCTTGTGGTACTAGGTTGGCTAGAATTGATTTTCCTAAATTCAATGGTGAAAATGTAAATCAATGGATTTATCAATGTGAGATGTATTTTGCAATTGACCTAACCCCTGAAGAATTCAAAGTGCGATTAGCTGTAGTGCATTTTGAAGGCAAGGCAATGCAATGGCATCATGCCTTTGCAAAGTCCCAAAAAAATGATAATTGGCCAAATTGGACTGAATACGTGAAGCTATTAAGAATTAGATTTGGGAATTTGTGTGAGGATCCTATGGTGGAATTGATGAATTTGAGACAGCGTTCTACTGTTACCGCTTATCATGAAGAATTTGATGCCATCATTAATCAGTTGGAATTATCTGAAGAATATGTACTTAGCTGTTTCTTGGGAGGGTTAAGACATGATATCCAAATGTTAGTGCGGATGTTTCAACCAACTACAGTGATGAAGGCTTTTACCTTGGCAAAGCTCTATGAATCTGCCAACCAAGGGGGAAATTCAGTGAAAACAATTCTGTCTAAGAGCTCTACCAAACCCTTAATTGCGGCAAAACCTGTCACTTTTTCAGAGAATCAGGTAGATTCATCCAAAGGGAAGTTGAGGAGAAATCTAACACCTGCATATATGAATGAGAGGAGGGAAAAGGGACTTTGTTATTTCTGTGATGAACCTTTTACGTATGAACATAGCCTGACACACAAGAAACTTCAGCTACACATGGTGGAGATTGATGAAGAGGAGGATGATGAGACATTACAATCTGAGACAGTGGTGAATGAGACGGATTTTGGGGATCCACATATTTCTGTAAATGCTGTGACTGGGGTGCAAGGATTCAAAACTATGAGAGTTACAGGAAGTTATAAAAAGAAACCCTTACACATTTTGATTGACAGTGGTAGTACACATCGTTTCTTAGATGTTAATATAGCTAAGAAATTAGGGTGTAGGATTCAAGCTATGAAGCCTTTACAAGTAACTGTTGCGGATGGTAATAAAATGAAGATTGAAGCAATTGTAAAGGAATTTAGCTAGTTTTTTTTTCAACATAATAATTTCATAGCTGATATGATGTTAATTCCTTTGGGTTGTTGCGATATGGTGCTTGGAATTGAATGGTTGGTAACATTAGGAGACATTGTTTGGAACTTTGACAAATTAAAGATGGAATTTACTGTGGCTGGTAAAAGACATGTGCTTAGGGGTTCTACACAGGGCAATGTGAAATTAATCAAGAATCAACAGATGGAGAAAACAATCCTAACGGGAGTACATTTGTCCATGATTTAAGTTTGTAATGATGAGGGAATATTGCTGCAAAATCTGACAACACATGCTAGCCAAACATCTACTCCTGCACTAATTTCAGAATTATTGGATCAATTTGATGATATTTTTGAAGAGCTTACTCAATTACCTCCTATGAGAGAAGGGTTTAATCACAAAATTCCCTTGTTACAAGGTACAAATCCTGTGAACAAAAGACCGTACAGATATGCAGGCAATCAAAAAGACATTATTGATAAGCTTGTTCAAGATATGTTGGCTTCTGGTATGATACAGAACAGTTGCAGTTCCTATGCCAGTCCAGTAATCCTAGTTGGAAAAAAAGATGGATCTTGGAGATTATGTGTTGACTATAGAGAACTCAACAAAGGGACAGTTAAGGATAGGTTTCCAATTCCACTGGTGGAAGACCTTATGGATGAACTGAATGGCTCAGTTATTTTTTCAAAAATTGATTTGAGAGCAGGTTATCATCAAGTCAGAATGGAAACTGCAGACATACATAAGACTGCTTTCAAAACTCATAGTGGTCATTATGAGTATTTGGTCATGCCATTTGGGCTTACTAATGCCCCTGCAACTTTCCAAGGTTTGATGAATGCTATTTTTAGTAAGTTCCTTAGGAAATTCTTGCTAGTTTTCTTTGATCATATATTGATATATAGTAAAAGTGAAGCTGAGCATTTACAACACTTGAGAAAGGTTCTATCAGTCATGAGAGCAAACAAATTGTTTGCTAAGAAATCCAAATGTTATTTTGGTGTAAACAGGGTAGAATACCTGGGGCATTTCTTGTCGGAAGATGGAGTTTCTACTGATCCTGTGAAAATTTAAGCTGTGAAGGATTGGCCTTTACCTCAAACTGTCAAACAGTTGAGAGGGTTCTTAGGTCTCACTGGGTATTATAGAAGGTTTGTCAAGGGATACGGAACTATAGCAAGACCATTAATTGATATGCTTAAAAAGGATAATTTTTCCTGGACGAACAACGCTAAAGTGGTGTTCACTAAGTTGAAAGAAGGACTGATAGCAGCACCTGTATTAGCTTTACCAGACTTCAACAAGACATTCATAGTTGAAGTAGATGCCTCTGGTTATGGAATTGGTGCTGTGTTGATGCAGGACCACCACCCTTTGGCCTTTATTAGTAGAACCCTCAATCAGCAACAACAAGTTCTTTCTACTTATGAAAAAGAATTAATTGCAGTGGTATTTGCAGTCCAAAAATGGAGACATTACCTTCTTAATAGACATTTTGTTATTAAGACTGATCACAGAAGCCTCAAGTACATATTGGATCAGAGACTTACTACTACCTTCCAACAGAAGTGGTTGGTAAAACTCATGGAGTTCGATTTCTCTATTGAGTATAAAGAGGGCAAGGAAAATGTAGTTGCTGATGCATTATCTAGACTTGAAGATATTCAGTCTCTAGAAGTTATTTGCCAAGCCTTAAATGTGTATAATCTACAATCAGATATGCTTCCTAGAATTGTTCAATCCTGGAAGCAAGATACAGATATACAGAAACTGATTTCTGAGTTACAACTTGATGCTAACTCTCATAAATACCACTCATGGAATGGATCAGAATTGAGAAGGAAGGGGAAGTTGGTAGTAGGAAAAGATAATCAACTAAGACAAGATTTGTTAACATGGATGCATTGCACTGCAACAGGAGGTCATTCGGGTAGACATGCTACATTACAGAGGATTAAGGTTGTAGTTTATTGGAGAGGAATGACAAGGGATGTGCAAGATTTTGTGAAGAAATGCACTGTGTGTCAACAAAATAAATATGAAACAACATCTTCTCCAGGGTTGCTGCAACCTTTTCCTATCCCAGGGCATGTATGGCAGCATATTTCTATGGATTTCATTGAAGGATTACCTCAATCTCAAGGTAAACAGTGCATTTTTGTGGTAGTGGACAGGCTTAGTAAGGCTGCTCATTTTTTGACCCTTACTCGTCCTTACACTGCACTCACTGTTGCTCAATCTTTCCTAGACAATGTATTCAGGTTGCATGGTTTCCCTGAATCTATAGTTAGTGACAGGGATCCTATTTTCATCAGTAAATTCTGGCAAGAATTAATGACATGTCAAGGTGTGCAATTGAGGCTTTCTAGTGCTTATCATCCACAAACAGATGGACAATCTGAAGTGGTGAATAGATGTTTAGAAACTTACTTAAGGTGCATGTGTTCAGAAAACCCTCAACAATGGGTTAAATGGATTCCTTTGGCAGAGTGGTGGTACAATACTACATATCACACAGCAATAAACGTCACTCCTTATGAGATTGTGTATGGCCAACCTCCACCAGCTTCATTGCCCTATCTACCTGGTGAATCTACTGTGGAGTTATTAGACAGAAGCCTTACAAAGAGGGAAGAGATGTTAAAAGTTCTTAAGTTCCATTTGAGACGAGCTCAAGACAGAATGAAGCAATTGACCAATAAACATAGAGTTGACAGACAATTTCAAGTTGGAGATTTAGTTTATTTGAAACTGCATTCCTACAGGCAAGGCTCAGTAGCAACTAGAGGTAATGAGAAATTGGCTCCTAAGTACTATGGCCCTTTTCCTGTGATTGACAAGGTCGGGGCAGTGGCTTACAAATTGAAGTTACCAAGCACTTCCCAAATTCACAATGTATTCCATGTTTCTCAGTTAAAGAAATATATTGGTGATGCTATAAGTTCCTCAGTTTTGCCTAGCCATATTACTGACATGTCTGATGCAAAGGAACCAGAAGCTATTCTTGACAGAACTTTTGTCAAAAGCAGAGGACAGGCAGTGACAAAAGTACTAGTGCAGTGGAAAAATCAATGTCTTGAAGATGCAACTTGGGAGTATTATTCTGATCTTCGTAGGAGATTTCCACATTTTTGTAATCCTTGAGGACAAGGATTTTTTTTAAGGGAGGAAAATTGTTAGATAATTGTTTGTAATAATCAGTTTTATAACTGAATTAGAATTAGTTAGCGGATGTCAGCTAACTAATTCTATAAATAGTTACTGAGGCATAAGAAATAGGCACTTTTGGAGATAACAATTGTAATTCTTCTCTCTGTATTCTCTTTGGTAATAAAGTCTCGAGGTTCTTTCTTTTATAGAGCTTCCTGCAATTTGAGATTCTTCGAACACCGTTCCTAGTATCTTGTGTTCTATTAGTTACTGTATCATCTTCATTTTCAGCATAGTTTGAGAAAATAATAGCAAGTAAGAGTTGCAATTCACACTTACCGCAGCGATTACAAGTGACCCGACCCCAACAAACGCCACCCATCGTTCATCGGCGACCAGCTCCCACATTCGCTGGAGAGCGAGCATCGCCTCCACGGGCTCCGCGCCGTCTTCCCGGAGCTCCGGCAAGGCCCACCAGCTTCCGCCGGGCAAAAAGGAGGCCGCGAGCCCGACCCGTTTTGTGAACGGCGAACCGAGTTGAGTCCGGGTTTTCGGGGCGCTGACCCGGAGGGTTATGGAGCGACCCGGTTGGGTGAAGGAGGAAAGAAAGTGGGTTTGGGGTTTGGTGGAGTTGCAGGGGGAAAAGGTGTTCCATTTGGGAAGGTTGGAGTGAGGGAAATGAAGAAAAATTTGGTCATGGGCCATGATTGCTGCTTCTGTTGTCTTCGCAAGCTATCATGGTGTGAAGTTTATGCCATGATCGTTCGTTCCCTCTAACCTCATTTTATCATGAATTAGAATTTGTACACGTATGTTCACTTTTTTTTTTAATTGACTTAAATTAGTTTTTTAAATTTAAGATAAATTAATTTTTATTTTTAAATTTAAAATTTTATTTTTAATTTATGTAATTTTTAAAAATTTATTTTAATTTTTATATTCAAATTTTGTTAAAAAATTTATTAATATTATTGTATAAAATTTATCTATTGATATTTATATTAGTGAAAACATTATATTATATTTAATTGATAATATATAATTATCTTAGAGCACCTCCGGTGGGTAGGGGTGGGCAAAATGAACTGAACTGAACTGAACTTATAAAAACTATACTGAACTTAAAAATAGTTATCATGAACTGAACTAAACTAAATATTAGTTCAAACGAACTGAACTGAACTATTTTTTTGTGTCATTGAACTGAACTGAACTATACTATAAAAACTTGAACTGAACTGCAATTTAAACTGCACTGAACTGCAATTTAAACTGCACTGAACTGTTATAATATTTTGAATTGAACAATTTTGACTCATTGATCTATCAAAATAGGACACATTTGCCAACGTTACTTTATTTTCCATTTTATTTAAATTTTCCAAAGAAAAAATATATAAAATTCAATCAAACAAACTTAGTGAATTTTAAGTCTAAAAATAAGTAGTCCAACATAGCTCAATTGATTCGTTAGATTCGACAAAATTGATACAATTTTTTTTTGGATCACTTTTTTTTTCTAAAGTTTTGGTTATTAGACTATCGAGTTAATCCATTAAGACATAATATATTAGACATATTTAATTTTTATCCTTTTATAAAAATAGTTCAATTTTTATAATTCAGTTCAGTTTTATAGTTCAATACAGTTAACTTTCCAACAGTTCAGTTCAGTTCAGTTTTTTTTTTAAACAGTTCAGTTCAGTTTTTTTACAAACAGTTCAGTTTTTTATAGTACAGTACAGTTCAGTTCACCACCAGTTCAGTTCAGTTCAGTTTTTTTTGCCCATCCCTACCAGTGGGGTTGCTTAGAGTGTAGCTTAAAAATAAGAGCTAGTGCTTACAAGAAACACTCAATGGAGTTATCCTACCTAACAAGAGAAGCACTTAAATTTTTGGCAGAGTTGCTTGCAGAAGAGATGGAGCTTAAGACTATGAAATGTAAAAACGAAGAGTTTTGATTGGTTTTTCCAGATTCAAGGCGGAAACAACAGATTCAAGAAAAAAAAAACCTCCGCTTCTCACTTGCGCGCACAACTCTGCGACTGGACGTCCTCCTCCGCGCCGCGACCGGAACCCCTACTCTGCGCCGCGGCCGAAAAACCCTTGCGCGCCGCCTTTGCGGTCGGAACCCCCTGTTGTACATATATGATATTCCAAAAGAAAATGAGATCCGGAAATATTTTTATTTTGATTACATTAAATTATTAAGGAAACCTTATTTGAAAATGACAATTTTTCACATTTCAAATTCAAATTTGATTATGTCATTAATATCTTACTGTTACAAATTTAGATTAATTTTCTTTTAATTACTGAATTAATTTTCTTTAATTACCAGATTTATTTTCTTTAATTGTTGGATTAATTACGTGATTTTTTAAGGTTTTGAGACTCTATAAATAGAGGTCTCTGGCACACTATTTTCTTACCCCAAAAACTCCTTTCTCTCTTCCTTCTCTTTGAGTTCTCGGATTTTCTGATTGCCGGTTCTGCTCCTCAATTCCTTGAGACGACCCTGTTGTATCCTGGGGGGCTTGTACGTATCCCGCGGAATAAGTCCTTAAAGTCAGTGCCATCACACGCCTTAGTTACTAACGTTTGTTCGATGTTTCAGGTTGCTCATAACTACGTCTGCCATTTTTATACAACACCCCCTCCCCGCGTGCCTCCACGGTTGGACTACCCTCACACGCAAGCCTCTGTGGCCAGAACCCCCGTGAGCGCGTCTCCACGACCGGACCCTCCCGCTCGCGCGAGCACCTCCACGGACAGAAACCCCCGCGCGCGCGCCTCCGCGGTCGGAACTCCCTCCCCGCGCGCGCCTTCGCGACCAGACCCCGGGTGCGCGACTCCTTGACCGAACCCCTCTCCGCGCACACCTCCGCGACTGGACCACCTCATCCGCGACTAGACCCCCCGCACGAGTGCTCTACGGCTGGGACCCCCTCTCGCATGAGCGCTCAACCATACAAAACTGACTTGTAAGGTAAGGATTGTTCCCTACTATTATACACGTTATTATGGTCTTATTTTTAGTTAATGTGGGATCTTCAACACACACACACACACACGCACACACACACACACACACACACACACACATATATATATATATATATATATATATATTTAGGAGGAATCAAATGACTTTGGTGTAACTTTTACTAATTATTACATCGCTCAATAGCTTTAATTAGATGTGAATTTTGTCGATCGAATTGTTTTGTTATAATTTCATATCATATTGTATGTTTATGTCAAATTTTGTTAAAATCAAATAATTTGAAGGTAATCAAAGTATTCATATTTTACTATATTTTGAAATGTACATATATGTTAAGTGAATTTTGATTTATATGAAAGATGTATCAAATCATCTTGAATTAATATAAAGTTTTGTATATATGATCTAAGAGTAAGAAACTTTGAATTTGAGAGCAAGTTTTGAAAAATAGTCATTTTATCAAAAGTTATTGAGTAAATGTATAGTTGATAAAAGTTACATCGATGTCATTTAATCTCTCCCACCTACACACAAATATATATAGAGAGTATGACACACACACATAGATTATGTTTCGAATAAGATATTTTTTAATATAAGAAACAACAATTGTTAACAATAAACACAGATCAGGCTACAAAATAGATTTCTACGTACCACTATCATAGTTGTTTCTATTATAATCGTCATCACAACCGTCATTGTCACCATGGTAGCTACCATCACCATCATCACTAGTGTTGCCACCACCACAACTATCATCATCATCACCACTACCACCTTCATTGTCATTACTAATATTACCATCATTGTTGTCGTTACCATTATCGTCGTCCTCGCCACCATTACTATATTTTAAATTGACGCAACAACTATCTTAAAAGACATATCAACAATATTTTTTAAGTAATTGACAATACATAACTATTAAACTCAAAATATAAATTAGATGAAAAACATTGTGAATAAAATTACAAGATATTTCATTGATAAATTACAAAAAAAATATTATGATCATTATTAAAAATTTGTAAGTTTAGTATTTTTTTTTTTTGGTAATTATGTTATTTGTAAGAAATATCCTTTGTGTTTGTTGATGAATAATCTCTGTCATCGAATATAGTTAGCCACCTTCGGTACTTAAAGAGTTGAATTCAATACCACCTAATCTAACACTACTTGTTTGTAGTCTCACATTTTATTTAGTGACACTTTCATGCTTTTGTAATTTTCAATAAATTTAAACTAATAAGGAATCGTATGTTATAAGGAAAAAATTATTAGGTAGTCTAAGACAATTAATTTGTGATTATGGTCTCAATCAAAATATACATGACATTGTCAAAACTCGAAAAATTTCGATCTTTTTAGACCTCCAATTTGAAAATCTAATTGATTAAGGAATGCCTGAAAACTAGATTAATCCTTAACTAATGACTTTAGAAAAGAATTTGAAGGAGTCGCCATCGATATTTTACTCAAAACATCAAAAAAAGAAAAAAAATCAAAATTGTAATAATGGTCTTCATAACCAGAATTGGGCTCGGGGGTCGGTTACGTGTAAGAAAGGTGTTAGACACCCTACAACGTCCTAAATTGGTACCCTATGATGAAATTAGCATAATAAGAATAATAGTTTGGGTATTTATTCTCGTTTTTATTGATTATTCACATGATATATTTATTATAATTATTTATAGAAATATGGTTTTTAACCCCAAGCGTTTGAAAGTAAACTATCTACATGATTATTACTCGTTCATGGCAAATTCACACACACACACACACACATATATATATAGATAGATAGATAATTTTAAATAAAGGATGGAGATAAGATTATTGAAAATATTTCTAAAACAAACTTTTATTGAATGATTCTTCCAGTATAGAGTCAAGGCGCATTTTAGCAACTTTTTTCACTAACAAACAACCTCACTCACTTAATAAATACAGAAGAGAGAAAGAGGGAGAATATATGAACTATACAGAACTCCAATAAGCCCAAAAACTCCTCCCTTAAGCATTGTTCACAAATTTCTATTTATAGCCTTAGCTCATGTCGGAACGGCCCATTCTGATGATTAGAACGGCCAATTCTGAATTAGTTTGTTATGGATAATTTTTTAGTTTAGAATGACCCGTTTCAAAATCAGAATACCCATTCTAGATTTGAAATTAAATCGTAACAAATTGGGTCAAAAGGGGTCGTTCCAGATAAGGAACGACTTGTTCTAGGCTACTAATTCAACTTTTGGGTTTTCAGGCCTTCTGGTGTCTTTCTGGTCCATTTTGATGCCATGATGGGCCTTCAAAGTCTTCTCGCCTTGTTTTGAATACCCCATACAAAATTGGGTGTCTATAGTTATCCCTCTTTACTTGAACTTTGAATGGTTATGTGTTGTTTTCTCAAGGTCAAGTAAAGACGTAGACATTCCCTTACAACTTTGTCGTGTAGCGGATCAGGAGATGAGTATTATTGTGTCGGCCTCTCCAGGCCGCCTTTTCCCTTACAGCTTTGTTGTGTACCAGATCAGGGGTAAGTACCATCTCTCCAAACCTTTCCCTTACGACTTTGTCATCTACCAAATTAGGAGGTGAGTATTATTGTGTCGACCTCTCCAAGCTGCCTTTTCCCTTACGACTTTGTCGTGTATCGAATTAGGAGATGAGTATTATTGTGTTAGCCTCTCCAAGCTGCCTTTTCCCTTGCGACTTTGTCGCGTACCAGATCGGGAGGCGAGTATTATTGTGCCAGCCTCTCT